TCTCTCTCTCTCTCTCTCTCTCTCTCTCTCTCTCTCTCTCTCTCTCTCTCTCTCTCTCTCTCTCTCTCTCTCTCTCTCTTACGCCCCCTTTTGTGTCCTTTGGCTGTTACTAACCCGCCACGTTCGCAGACCCTTAATCGCAAACCCTCCGCCTCCACCTCCACGACCCAACCACCTGAACCACCCATGTCAACCCTCCAAGTCCTCCGCTCTCCAGGCGTCGGTCTCGTCCTTTACATCCTCGCTCACACCATGACCCTCGCCCTAGGCTACACAGCAGTCATGCCGGTAGTCATGTACGAACCCGTCGAAAAGTCCGGATTCGGCTTCTCTCCCGCCTACATCAGTTACTCTCTCGCCACCGTCGGCGCAGCCCAAGCACTCTGGATTCTTCTCGTGTTCCCTCCACTACAAAAGCGAGTGGGGAGTCGAAGAGTGCTCCTGTGGTGTGCGATCCTCTGGCCTTTCTTCATGGCTGCATATCCCATTTTGAACGAATTCCTCCGCGCGGGGTGGCAGACGGCATTTTGGATCGTGACCCCAATCATGCTCGTGTTGGGATCGGGTGTGAGTATGGCTTTTGGTGCGTATAATACCTTCCTGCCTACAACAAGAAGAAGGAAGAAAAAACAAGCACTAACGAGAACAACAATAATAACAATCAATACCTCCAGCTGCCGTCCAACTCCTCATCAACGACATCTCCCCCCGTCCCGAAGTCCTCGGGACTGTAAATGCCCTATCATTAACCGTCAACTCGGGTGTTCGAGCCGTAGCTCCCGCCCTCTTCACATCCATCTACGCGATAGGAATCAAGCTCGGGTGGGCAGATGGGCATTTGGTGTGGTTTGTGATTGTACCTATTGCTGCATTGCTCTATGTTGCAGCAAGTTTTCTGCCGCTGGAAGAGATGCGAGATGATGATGCGCCCGTCAAGGGAGATGGGAGAGCAGGAGATGAGGACGAGGGAAGAGGATAGCTACTGGAGCTGAAACCGGGAGGAAGCAAGGTATTGACAATAATATGCTAGAATATTTGCACGGAACTGGTCATGCTTACTAGAGTCTATATATTAACAATAGTTGTTCGACGCTCTTACTCGAGGAGAGGCATCTTACAGGCCAATATACGAGAACCGCTAGGTTCTTATTCTTTATACCTGATATACTATATCTCGGTAGTAACAAAGGAGGAGAAGCTCTCTTAACCTCAAACGATTAGTACGGGATGTAATAACGGAAGGTCTTATAAGCCTACAAACGAGCCGACAGACGCCTCTCTATCTCGAGAGTATAATTCAACAACATTTGTTTGCTCCCTAGTATACGATTCAACTAGCGTATCTATAGAGTATAGTAGTAGTACTAGCGGTATTAGTATTAGTAGTATTAGTAGTAATAGCAATAGGAGTTCTCGTATATATACCTTCTACCGCCGTTCAATAGTCTACCCGTTCCGCCTCTATCTATATACTATATAGCTCGGAATCTCGGATACTAGTTAATTACTATACTAATAGCTATCTAAACGTCGCTTTGTAGAGTATTTCGGAGGCTAAGAAAAAGCCGAATAATGCCGAGGTATTCTAGTAGTATAAAATACCTCTAGATATTGCTCCGAGTAACTACTACGAATCTAACTATAAGAGTAGGGATATATAGTAATATATAGAGCGTCCTTCCTACCGCGTAGGAAAAGGAACAAACTAATTCTTATCCTTCGGAAAGGAGAGAGCGGCGTCGTATAATATACCCCTATACTAAGTATACGTAGGCGCTACGCTACGTAGGCGGTCGCCCGATAGCCGATCGCCCGATAACTCGGATTATACTGCTCCTATAGCCCGTCCTGCCTTAGGCTAACGTACCTTAGACTTAAATACCTAACCGCCCCCTAGGGCTATATACCTCTAGGCCTAGCTATTACAATTATCTCCTCTCCCTAATAGAGCTGTCCCTAGCGATATATTCTATATATTGTATATAGAGCGTATATAGAGCGTATACGGAGATACTCGTATTCTATATAGAGGCTAGTCGTTATACTAGGAATCCTAGTAGTTACCCTAGAGCATTCTATATAGTAGAATATAAGGAAGTCAATAGAACGTAGAATACGATAGAAGAAAGCCCGCCTAGCAATAGGTAGTAGTAACGAGTAAGTATATTTCGTCCTCTACGCTACGTCTTTTTCTTCGTTCCTTAGTTCTTCCCTAAAACATTTTTTTAGGAAAAACTCTAAGCTCTTCGTACTATCCTCGTAACCTATATATACGAGATATGCCTCCGAAGCGCGCGATAGCCGCAAAGGTACCTAAGAAACCCGTTCTAGAGCGCGATCCGTATCGCGGTTGTACTACGGCTAGAGCGTACAACATTTGCCTCTACTATATAGAGTATATATTCAAGGGTACGTCGATACCTATACGTTGCGTACGCCTTACCTGCGTTTCCTTACTAATCTAATAGTAGTAGATACGAACGGCGTCGTCGAGCGTACCTATAACGGCGTAATAGCTCCTAGCCGAAAGAAGAAGTATTAGAGGTACGCGAAAGGGCGCTACGTATACGAACGCGTAGTAGACCTAGACCTACTTCGGTAGGCGCGCTACCTACGCGTCCTACGTACGGCGCTTCGTTCTTATATAGCCGGTATACGCTCGGTATAGATAATATAGCGCTTGTAGTAGCTAAGGGATAAGATTCTAGAGAGCAAGAAGGTACTTGCCTCTAATAAGGGCAAGGCCGTCGGCGTCTACGAGACGCCGAAGAAGGGTAGTAGTAGTAGTAGTATAGTTGGCGCGCCGGCGTCGAGCGCCCTAGCCGTAGCCGTAGCCGACTACCTAGAGATAGCGAAAGCTACCTCGGCCCTTTAGGGCATTTTTAAGCTATAGTATAAGGTAAGTTCTATCGCTTCGTACTCTACTCGTAGGCGTCGCTAACGTCTATCGTAGATAGCTCGCTTAGCTAGCGCCGCCGGTACTACTTTAGATAGCGTAGTAGCGACCGTATATCCCGATTACGGCAGTTAGGAGCTATACCTATTAGACGGCGAGGCTAAGATAAGCCTACCTAGCGATAGCGACGACGACGACGACGACGACGACGACGGTGCCGGTAACGGTACCGGTCCTACCGTTCCCCCTATTAGCCCTACTCCTACTACTCTCTCTTCTAGTACTACTAGTACTAGTAGTACCGTAGGTGCCTAACCCTCTCGTCGCGTTCGGTTAGCCTACGCTTCTAGTACGCTACGCGTGTTTTTAGTGTTTTGTTTGTATATAGTATTCCCGGCTTAGCTAGTCAAAAGCAAATTGATTCTTAATCGTTCTATCTACGTCTCGCTCGTACTATACTACTACGTTTCCGCTACGCTTCGAACTCGTCGAGGGCGGCGTACTTACTAATATGCTCTTTAGGTTCCTATTAATCGAATTCCTCGGGCTAGCTACGCTAGTATACTAAGTACTATCGGATACCCTTCCTTAGGCGCGTATCTAAGATCTTTTCTACCTTATAGAGTCCCTCTTTATCGGCGAGTAGGAGGGTTCCCTCCTACGCGTTACCTACGCGGCCCTTATAGGGCTCGAGGTATAAGACGTAGAAGACGTTATAGATCTAAGATCCTGCTAGTAGGGCTAGGCGGTACGCCTGCTTCCCTACGATATCAATTACCTTAAATAGTCCTACGAACTTATCCGCGAACTTCTTCGTAGGTACCTTTAATCTTAGGTTCTTAGTAGACAGTAGTACTATATCCCCTACCTTAAACCCTATTATAGTATACTTCGCGTTGAAGTACTTCGCCTACGCTTCGCTAGTACGTTGCTAGCGCTTACTTAGGGTTTCGTAGTTCCGTTTCAGTCTCTCCGTAGCGTCTACTACGGCTAGTACCTCCCTCTCCGCAAGCTCGCCCCGAGCGTTATATATACTTATCGCTAGCTCCGGGTTAAATCTATATAATGCTTTGAATAGTAACATCTTTAATACGGCGTAGTCGCTATTATTATACGCGAATTTAGCTTGTATTAGTATACTAGCCTAATCGTCCTACTACTCTAAGTAGTAGATGTATAGGTACGTCTCGATTATCTAGTTTATCCGTTCGGTTTGACCGTCGGTTTGCGCGTAGAACGCTATACTAAGCCTGCGTTTTACCTATACCTTATAATAGAAGTCTAACTAGAACTAGCTCGTAAACACCGAGCTTCTATCGCTTATAATACCTACGGGTATACCGAACCGTCGTACGATTTCGTTTACTAGGATATCTACTAGATCTACGCTAGTACATTTCTTCGTAGTTAGTACGAAGGTTACTATTTTAGTATATCTGTCGACAATTACGAGGATCGTATCGTAGACGCGGTCGCCGCGCTTGCTTAGCGGCAAGTCTATAATAAAGTCCTAGGTCAATTCTTAGAATAGCCTTTCTAGTATAGGTAGCGTAGCCAGTTCGCTATATAGACGGTAGCGTCGCGCTTTCGACTTTTGATAGGCGTTATAGGTAGCGACGTACTCTATAACCTCGGTAGCTATCTCTAGCTACGAGTACTTTCTTCGGATTAAGGCCGTTGTCTTATCCTTCCCGAAGTATCCTACTAACGGATCGTCGTAGTATATACGTATTAGCTATACTCTAAGGGCGTAGTCCTTAGGCATATATAGCGCGTCGCCTACCTACAAGTTACCTTCCTAGGCGACGTAGTCCTCGAATACGCCCTAGTTGCTTATTACCTACTTATATACTACGCGTACGTTAGGTTCTGCCTAGACGAGCGCGTAGGTATATATTAGAATTAAGTCGGAGACGTTCGCGTACGGTTGTTCGTCTTTTAATACTACTTAGGCGACGCGGATAGGCGACGTATAGTACTACTATAGGTTAGCGTCGGTACTTCTCTTAACGCTACGGTATAAGCGATCGCCGGTAATATAGATACGCGATACCTTCGGACTATCTACTTCTAGCGTACGTCCGTCCTATAGCTATAGCTTAGTTTGTAGGGTAGGGAGGAGGTTAGTTACCTTACGCGACTCTTATACGTAATCGCTACGTCGCGACGGACCGTCGGCTAGGTTTCGTTTGCCTACCTAGTAGGTAATAGTAAAATCGAAAGCCGCTAGGAATATCGCCTAACGGGCCTATCGACCTATAAGTTTCTTTACGCCTATAAAGCCTCTTAAATTAGCGTAGTCGACGAGTACCTTAACTATATACTAGGCGCCTTCGCAGTACGGCCGCTAAGCTTTAAATAATTCGACTACCGCTAATAATTCCGAGTCGTATATCTCGTAATTACATTCTATAGGGATTATCTTATAGGAGTAGAAAGCGATAGGGTACTACTTAGAGCCGAAGAGTTAGCTTAGGATACCTACAATAGCAAACGCCGAGGCGTCGCTTTCGATTCGTAGCCGTAACGCCGGGTTAAAATGCCTTAATAGGGGTGCTTACTAGAAACGCCGCTTAATCTCTTAAAACGTATACTCCTCGGCTACGCCCTACTAGATCGGTCCTAGCTTTCTACCTTTTACGGCTCTCTTTAATAGCGCCGTTAAAGGTACTACAATCCTCGAGTACTCGAAGATAAATCTACGATAAAAATTCGCAAATCCTAGAAAGGACTATACCTCTGTTAAGGTAGTTAGTATTAGCTACGCTCCGATTGCGTCTACTCTACGAGGGTCTATTTTTACGCCGCCGGGGGTTACGACGAACCCGAGGTAATCGACCTCCTTTATAAAGAATTTGCACTTTACGCGCTACGCGTAGAGTACAAATCTGCGGAGCCTCTTAAGCACTTCGCATACGTCCTTTATATACTGCTCGCGTGTTTTGCTATAGATAAGGATATCGTCGAGGTATACTATATAGGTAATATCGACCAATCCTACTAGGGCTCTATTAATATACGCCTAGAACGTTACTAGGGCGTTAGTTAGACCGAAAGGCATAACCTTGTACTAGAAGTAGCTATAGCGCGTACGAAACGCAGTCTTCTAGCGGTCGCTTTCCTTAATCTTAATACGGTAGTAGGCATCGGCTAAGTCTAGGTACGTAAACCACTCGGCTCCTATAAGCCTGTCTAGCGTTTCGCCTATAAGAGGTAGGGGATACCGATTTTTTACTATAATTTCGTTTAGACCGTAGTAGTCTATATACAATCGTAGTAAACTATCCTTCTTTAGTACGAACAGTACCGGCGCGCCTGCTTTACTTATACTAGTCTTAATCTAGTCGTGTTCTAGTACGTTAGTAATATATTTATATAGATGCTTAAGTTTAGCGCCGGACTAGTAGTATAACGGTTAGAATAGTAGAACGGTACCTAGCCGTAGGTCGATCGTATACTCTACGCCGTCTACTAGTTTGCTACGCTGTTCGTCTATAGGAAACAAGACGTCGTAGTAGTCCCGATATTCTATCGGCAACTCCGTAAGCTCTAACCCTACGTCTGTCCTACGTACTATTACTACATATACGTAGGACGAGTTCTTTAGGTCCTTAAAGAAATTAGATACCTCTCGGACCTTAATATACAAGTGCTCGCTACCGTAGCGCTATTCGTTAGTAGTACTATCTACTACTACTTACTAGGTACGACGCTACGGCCGTCCTAGGATAAGATTAGGTTCCGGTGTATTATAGGCATAAAACAAGCCGCCTATCGTACGCTCGTTACCTACGGAGTCTACGAGGGTTATACGGATGTAGTACGCCCTATAGTAGTAGCCTAACTAGCCTATAAACGAGCTTACCGGCGGTAGGAGTACGTTCCTATAGACCGCGAGGTTATGCTTTAGTACGAAGCTACGCGATACTACGTTAATATTAGCGGTATCGTCGAGTAGTATAGTAGTAGGGGTACGCCCCTTATATGTCTCGACTTATCCTTCGAGGACGCGGGTATAGTATACCTAGATAGGTAAGAGGGTATCGCTATCGAGATAGGTATCTAGAGCTTACGACTCTCCTCTAATACCTTCTCTTTTTTCGGCGCTTACTCTTTAGGTACGGTAACCCTACGAACCGTATTCGCCTTATCGCGGCTCGCGTAGTTAGGGTATACGGAGTTAGTTGCGATATATCCCTTCTTCTTATAGAAGTAATATTCTAGATTCTCGTGCCCTTGTACCGTCGACGTCGCTACGGTCGATAAGGTACGTCTATCGTATAGGGCCCTACTCTTGCTTCGATCCTATCGATCGTCGTAGCTTTGTAGTACGTCGCTCTCGGTACGCTTGCGTTTGCCCTACGTACTATAGTTACGCCGATAAGGCTCGTCTTTAGTACGGACTACTAGCGCGTTGTCTGCTTACTCGAGGCGCCTTACTAGGTTTACGAGCTCTACTCGCGTATTAGGGATAGTATGTCCCTTAACGATGTCCCTACGTAGCGACGGCTTTAACTTAGCAAGGAAGTAGCGTATTAGCTACGCCTACGTATAGTTAAACTAGGCTTCTAGATAACTAAGCTACGCTGCGAAATAACGGACGCTCTAGTCCGGGCCTTAACGTACCCTTTTATACTCGATTATTACGCCGATCTAATAGTTCGACTAATCGCCGACGGTATTACGGACTTACGGAGCTATCCCTTAAATTCCTCCTAAGTATAGTCCTCGGGGATTACGTCGGAATACTCGTCGTACTACGTCTCCTACGCTTCGCCTACGAGCTATATAATACTATATAGGACCTTGTCTTAGTCGGTTCGATATTCTCGGGGGGCGCTAAGGAAGACGACCTCGAGGTACCTAATAAAATCACGGTACTCTTTATCGGTATCTCCTTTAAAGGGCTTTAGTTCCCGAATCTTAGGACCTCTATATAGAGAATACGAGCTACGTAGTAGGTTCGTAGCCCGTCCGCGTACGTCGCGTAGGTCTGTCGACCTAAGGTCTTCTTCGAGCCTATTAAGAAGGTCGGGCTCGGCGTCGTCGTCTATAGTAACTATAACGGTTAGGGTTAGTACTCGGCTCTAAATTTATTCCTATAGACGTTAGTTTTCCTTCTCGAGGGCCTAAACTTCTAACTCTATATAGAGACGCTAATTTGCCTCCTCGAGCTGTATACGTCTAGTATACGGGTCGGCTATATAGGCTTCCGGCTAGGTAGGAGCCTCCTCGAAGGGAGTCTCCTCTAGGTTCCCGTCTGCCTAGGCACTTATAGAGCCCGATACCGTCTCCTCGGAAGGTTAGGCATCTTCGTCTACTTCGCCGATAACGCGGCCCGCCTACGCTATAGCTACGGTACGGTCGCGTTGTTGTCGTAGGGCTATAGGACCTCTATAGATCACTACCCTTTAGAAGGATAGAAGAATTAGAAATATAAGAGTAGGGGTATATAGTAATATATAGAGCGTCCTTCCTACTACGTAGGAAAAGGAACAAACTAATTCTTATCCTTCGGAAAGGAGAGAGCGGCGTCGTATAATATACCCCTGCGCTAAGCATACGTAGGCGCTACGCTACGTAGGCGGTCGCCCGATAGCCGATCGCCCGACGACTCGGATCGTACTACTCCTATAGCCTGTCCTACCTTAGGCTAACGTACCTTAGACTTAAATACCTAACCGCCCCCTAGGGCTATATGCCTCTAGGCCTAGCTGTTATACTAACGTAGTTACTATCGATCGTACCGATAGGCTAATATATAATACTAGTCTATCAAATAGCTAGTACCGTACCTACGGCCGTATAGGTATATAAGTATAGGTATAAGTATATAGATATATTATATATATAGTATACTATATATAGCTAAGTATTAGTTAATATTAAATATAATTGATTATATAGTAAATAAGAGGAATTCGTTTAGATAGTAAAGTGTACGTATGTACGTACGTATATATATATTAGTAGTAGTATATAGTTGTTTAAAGGTAGTATATCTATTACTTCTATCTATTACCTCTATTCTATAGTTAATTCTACAGTTAATTCTACGGTTAATTCTACGATATCGTTACAACTCTGCGTCCGATAGAGAGACTATAGTAATAATACGGCTAGAGGTAGTCGTCGGCTAATTAGTTAGTTGTTTAGAGCCGTAATACCTCTATACTAAGTACTCTAACCAATACTATCTATAGTTACTACTACTAGTATAGTACTACTTAATATACGTAAGTACGTTAAGAATAGCCGTAAGCGATACGCTATTATCCTCTCTAAAGTAAGGTATACTATTAAGGCCTTAGCTTAATAGGCCGGCTAGAAACTTACTCGAATTGCTACTACCTTAGATAAACTATATTCTATAGTCTATAGTATAGTAAATAAAGCTATTATACTATAGGTAGACAAAGCTAAGCGGTCTCTAAAGAAGTATAGTACCCCTATCGCTAATCGAATTATCGCTTTCGTTACTCGCGACGAAAATAGACGTAGAGCGACGTATAACTAGATTAAGACAGCCCTAGAGTTAGAGTGTTTAGAGTTAACAAATAACGATCCGCCGGCGTCTCTAAGAGAGTAGATACTATCGTTTAGTTGCCCGCTATACGCCCTAGTTAGATAATAAGAATATAGATCTACGTAGGCAGGCCGTAGTTCGGGGAATAGTACCTAGTATAGATACTAAAACTATTTATCTTTAGGGACGCTGTCGCGTTTAGCTATAGTAGTACGTATTAATAGCGTATAACCCGTCGCCTAGAGGAAGCGTATAATCCGGAGTGTCTTAGACCGTTGTATAGGGATATAGAGAATACGTACTACTACTATAGGTTTATTTATAGCCGCTATAAGTCTCGTTTAGTATATTAGGACCGCTACGAGTATAGTAATATAACCTAAGCTAGTCTCGTCTAGTACGTATTGCCCGAGCTTGTCCGCTTCTAGCAAGAGTATATACTCGCGGCAATCGATAAATCTAGGGATAAAAGTATATCTAAGGACGACGATTTCGACTCTCTAATAGCGCTAATTCCTAACGCTACCGCTATATCCGAGGGATAGATACCTAGAGTTGCTCTATCCGACGCCGCTTTCTACGCTCTAATTTAGGAAAATATCGATATAAATAGGTATAATCTAGCTATTATCGCTCTTAAGAAGATACTAGTCCTTGTCCTCGACGGCGCTTCTATATATAAAGGCTAATTCTAACGAGAAATCGAGAATTGTAGTATTCTATATACTCTTAATATCTAGCTACTAAACTCGCTAGATTTGAACTGTATTAAGAACGTATAGGCTCTTATAAAAGTACGAATTAATCGTCTACCGTATACCGGTACTAACGAGTAGCTTATAGCTTAAGTTTAAAAGGAATAGAACAAGTTAATAGAGGAGGAAATCGAGGCAGTTACTATCTTATTCTAGCGACGAATAGAATTAGTAGGTAAGTACGATAGAATGTACGTCGGCTACTAAATAGTAAATAGCATCGGTACTATCGATTGCGTATAGTAGCGAGCGTATAAGTAGGTATATTAGTTAATATTGTAGATATAGAGATAGTTACTTATTTATAGAATTCCTCTCTACTGAATTTTTGTAGTATATAAGGTCGGACTTCCGCTCGGTAAGCTCCGTAATTGGCCGAAACTAACTATAACTAATTATAGAGGTAGCCTGCAATTACAAGGTACGGATAGACTATCGAACGGCTATAGGAGGTATATGTATCTACCGATTACTCTTAAGCGTCGGAAACCGTACGCTAGGCACATTAGATTGTCTTAGACTCTTTCTATATATACTTCTATATAGCACTATAACGCGATCGAGCAAGGAAGAGGGCAATACGGAGGTAACTATACTAGTCTGCGAATTGCTATTGAGAATTCGACACTTCGAGCTCGAGTCGACCCTCTCGCCGTTTGAGGTCCAGTTCGGTACGCTCTTGATCTTAATTTGCCTGCGACAACTCGGCACGCAAAGCGTCGCATTGCTGGTTGAGATCCAGTTCAATACGCTCTTGTTCTTGATCTGCCTGCGACAACTCGGCACGCAAAGCGTCGCATTGCTGGTTGAGATCTAGCTCAACACGTTCTCGTTCTTGATTTGCCTGCGACAACTCGGCACGCAAAGCGTCGTATTGTTGGTTGAGATCCAGTTCAACACGCTCTCGTTCTTGATCTGCCTGCGACAACTCGGCACGCAAAGCGTCACATTGATGGTTGAGGTCGTCTCTTTCTTGTTGAATCTGGACTACCTGGTGTTTGAGGTCGTCTCTTTCTTGTTGAATCTGGACTACCTGGTGTTTGAAAGCATCGCGTTGACCGTATGCCTGCTCCAGTTCAGATTTCTGTAAATCATATTAACAGAATGTACCACTTGCTTCACTAGAATCAGCTTACGATTTGAGCATCCCGTATTGCCCTCTGCTGGTTTTCATTTTCAATCGCCAACTTCCTCTCGGCCAATTGCGCCACTTTTCGGTGTATACGTTCTACCACTTCACGCGTTTCAGCTGTGTATCGTTCCATCGTCAGGATAGCAGCGGGAGAATGTCAGAGAAACAAGAAGAGGAAGAGGAAGAGGCGGAGGATGAAGACACGTCTGCAAAGGGAATTACCAGACAGTAAATAGTTGGTATAAGACGAGAACAAAAGGTGTAAACCGAAGAAGCACAAGAAACTAATAGAATCTACTAGGCGTTACGCCTGAGGGGGGGTATGTGATGCAATAGATACGCGAGACAATAGGTACCTACGCGAGGCAAGAGGTAACTTGGAAGGAGGTAAGGTAGCAACTGCCTGGTTCGCAACCTCCAGGCTACTGGAGCTGAAATCGGGAGAAAGTCAGGTAATAACGACAACCTGGAATGTACTGGAATATTTGCACGGAACTGGTTGTGCTCGTCGCCAATCAACAATAGTTGTTCGACGCTCTTACTCGAGTAGAGGCATCTTATAGGCCAATATACGAGAACCGCTGGGTTCTTCTTATTCATATATACCACATCTTGGTAGTAACAAAAGAGGAGGAGCTCTCCAAATCTCAAACGATTGGTCCGACATCTAATGCATCCATCAAGATGCACACCACCACCAACCCAATCGCCAAAGCATCCCTCACGATACTCGGCCTCTACCCCGTCTGCATGATATGGTGCTACGTGCCCATGCCTACATCAGGTGTAGGATATCTCCCCGCAGGAGTTAAGCCCGTTGCAGGAGCGACGCCCCCTGCCCTTCGTGTACCGCCCCTCGCACCAGGAATCCCAATGCCGGCAAGGCTAAAATCTGGATTTGCAGACAATATCACGTCGTCGTTTCTTCTTTGATGCGGAGCAGAACCAGATGTAATTGGTGTCATTCTCGGTCCAAAGTGCGGCCCAGGACCTTGTACTGGGAATCCAGGTCTCCAATTGGGATTGATTCCTCTTTGAGATACCGATGTGAAGTGGCTACTTTCCGATGCGGCACCAGGACTTCTCGCTCCATCGGGGATAGATTCCAGATATTCTGCCGAGGGGATTGTTCGAACTCCACGTCCAGCTTCAAAGCCAGCTAAACTCGATGCTCGTTCGTGATTAGGAGGCGTGACGTTCTGCTGATAGAGGTGACGATGTTGATCATTATTCCTCAGAGACTCGTCGCTATCATCCTGGTCAGTCGTTTGTTGCCCATCGTCCGCGACATCAGCCTCTTCGGCATGAGGCGCTAGCACTCGAGAGCTATTGAGAGGAGAAGGGGAAATCGTACGATTGTGGTGTTGGCCACTGTATTGGTAGACAGGTGATTGTGCAGGGCCATCGTGGTAGATAGGTCTCTGTCCTGGACCGGGAGTCAGGGCGTTGGGGATGCCGGACTCGCGGTTTGCGGGGTGTAGATGACCTGGGGGTGGGCTTGCGTCCTGTGCGAAGCGAGGATCAACGTCTTCGTAGTATGTCTCTGACCCTGTAGCGCGGTGGCGGGGTTCAGATGATGCGCTCGGCGATGCTGGCACCGGACTCAGTGGCAGCGCTCGTGACGACGGCGCGGCCGCCGATGAATGATGATTTGATGAAGAAGAATCGAAAGTCGCTCTGGAGAGGTGTGCCTCGGGCATCTGCACAGGTTCATCGTGCTGTGCGCGGAGAGGTGACGGTACGCTACTCCATTGTTGTTGAGGTGACATATGGTGGTTTCTTCTGCAGGTCAGCACATATTCCCAAACATGTATCAAATAACACAACAGGAACTTACTGATCCGAGTATAAGCTTGATGGCGAGTCGAGTGGCTGGCTACCAGTCGGTGACATGTCTGCTCTTCCTTGCATCAGACCCACCATGCCCGCAACGTCGCCATCACTGTCTCTCAAGCCGTACGCGTTATTTTCGTAAACGTGCCGTCCTGCCGCGCTGCCCGTACGCTCGTCCATCTCGATCGCTTGACCAATCGGCATGGCAGGGCCAGCAACGAACTGGTTATCGATTGGAGGAGGAGGAGGAGGAGAAGATGTTCTTGGCAAGTCAGGGTGTACATCAGATCCGTAGCCAGGCGGTGGCATGGGCCTCCCTCTGCCCATCATTCCGGGCGGAGGAGGACCGTACCCGCCTCTCCCTCGCGCGTTGAACGGCCCATTGAACCCAGGGGAGGGAGGTCCATAGCCACCTCCACGACCACGCCCAGCAAAGCCGAACGGAGGGCCTCCATAGCCTCCTCGTCCTCTGGGAGGCCCAAACCCTCTGGTCGGTGGTCCGTAGCCTCTACCTCTGGGAGGATAGGCATTGTTGCGGCTGCTGCCCAAGTTTCCCTGCGATCCCTCATGTCTCAAGCCAGGAGCAGCCATCCCCATGGCGGCGGCACCCCCAGCGATTGGATTCCCATATTGATCCCTGCTTGGACGTCTGTGTCCGCCTCCTTCTTGGCTTGGTCGAGGCATTGGGGGCGCATCAGAATCGTACATAGGTCTCGGGCCTCCGCTGGTGCTCGTAGATCTAATGCTCGGGTCACGTTGTGGGTTCAAAGGGACGCGATCGTCAGCATAACTTCCGCCGGCTCCATTATCGCTCCTCGTTTCCTGCCTCTTCATTTCAAACGTAGCAAATTGCGAGGTACTACTGTTCTCCACCGCAGTACTGCCACTCATGGGCGGCGGACTTTCAGCTCTCGGCAAGTTGTCGACATCACCCTTGGGCAAACGATCAACCATGATGCGGTTCTGCGCCAAGTTCTCGTAGTATGCAGCGCCATTCATATCGGCGTTCTCCGCGATGCGCTTCTTGCGCGCTTTCCTACTGACCAAGGTCCTTCGCATGGCGCAAGTAACGATGCTGGACGCGATAATCAAAAGTGTGGCTCCCAGCACGATCCAGCCGCCCCACTGCATATGCGGGACGAAAAGGAGAATGTCGACGAGAAAGGCCAGCAGCGTCACCAGCAAGGTGGGAAAAGTCAGGATGAGGAGGGCAAGTAGATATTTCGGCGAATGCGAAGGTCCGTGGAAATGGGCAGCCACGGCCAGGCCGAAGCAGATCAGGGCCAGGAGGGCGGCGATGGGGTGGACGATGAGGATCGAGGAGAGACTGTGACGTGCGTCGGAAGGCAGGGAGAAGGCGTCATTGTTGGCATCGCTGCCGCCAGAGAACAAGCCGTCTGCCTCAGGAGTGCTGCGTAAGCGTGCTGTCTATGAGAAGAGGAGGAAGAGGAGGAGACGCGCGTGCGCACACACCTGTACTGTAGCCAATGACGGGGCCTTTACATGTCCCATCTTCTTTACAGTAGCCCAGTACGCCCAAATTCACGCCCTGGTACGAGGCCAATGGAATACTTTTGATAACGGGAGTGGATAGTGTGCTCAGGAGGAGCAGCACAAATGCCGCCAAAAAGACGATGGACAGCGGAGTTGCGGGACGCAGCATGATGGCAGTAGTATGCTCAACGAGTGTGGGTGGTGGTGAAGGTGGTGGTGGTGGCCGGTGATTGCGCAGCGGCGGCTATTGTTGGCTCGCAGCCAGACTGGAGATGAAGGTATCAATATCCGCCCGCCCCGCCGTCTCGCGTCTCTTGCGGTCTGGTCCCGTCCTGCCTCGTCGGCGGTGGCGAGGAAGGCCGTGATGATTACAGTAGTGGTGATAGTGTCGTGTCGTCGTTGTGTCGTCGTCCTGTTGCTGCGCCGGTAGACCCGAAAACCTTGTCGTACCTATAGTTCTATTACTTCCCTCTGCCCCCGAACTTAGTGCAGCGTCCGTATTGGTATGCCCTGTAGTGGTGAAATGCTGTCGCCGCAACTGCGCTGTGCGCGCGTGCAGTCGGCGAGGGAAAAAGATTGGCCCAGCCGTGGGCGAAATAAAGAAGGAATGAGGGGAATTCGATGGGGATGCGGCCCACTGGGAGTCGGTCTGGAGACTAGAGAATTGTGGATGGATCGTCGCGGCGGCGGCAGGATAAGATGGTCCCACAAGCCTCAAGGCACACACGCGCGCTAGCTTGCACCTGCCTGCCCTGGCTTGGCCTGCCCTGCCACCACGCGACGTGATATCTCCCCGATTGGCTGTGCCGTATGCATGTATGAATGGCTGCGCACAGGAAGCAGGGAAGAAGGGAAGAAAACGAAGGATGAGGTAGGTAGCTTGCTGTGTAGCGAGAGGAGGGACAATGAACAAAGGACGGGACGGGGACGGGGACGGGTCGCGTGAAGATGGAAGTGATTGAAGACTGCGGTGGGCAAACATGAAATGAACAAGATGGAAGAGAAGAAACAGAGGGAGGGGCGGGGCGAGCCGTTACGATGGTTGAACCAATGGAAAGAGATGACCCTAGCAAGCCCTACTGGCACATCTGCGGACCGACCTCCACCTCGACCTACCTGTACCTACTACAGGTATGTACCACTCTTCACAGAACATACCTGACGTAGGAGGAAGGGCGAGTACAATGTTACCAGGTAAGATACATAGTACCAGGTATACAGTAAAGCTATATGTACCTGGTATGCATGAGCCAAAAGCAGGGACGAACACACATGCCAAGACCACGATGCGCAGGATGGACAGATGATAGAATCAGTGATGATGATGATGGGGGATGGCCATGACGCCGAAATTAGCTGCAGTGGTAGTGTCACTTGTACCAGGGTCCTCGTGCAGCCACGCTGGAAGTCATGAACTACTACTAGACCTTACCGTACTGTATGGACACTAGGTGCAGTAGTGCTAAGGATCCGCATCTGCCAAATCTTGCTTATACCTCTCCTTCGCCCTCTGACTCGACTCTCTAAAGTCCACGTGCGGAGCCGGATAGCCCAACTTCGCAAACTCCTCCTGGCTCAACCTCGCATGTGGATCGAACACATCTTTTCCCTTCACCTCTCTCAACTCGGGCACCCACTTCCGAATGTACTCTCCACGTGGATCGCACTTCTCCCCTTGCACCACCGGGTTGAACACGGTGTAACTCGGCTCCCAGCCTTGGGTGTTATTCGAAAGATCCCAATCGATCAATGTTTCGGCAAAATATCTCTCGCCTCTTCGATAATCGATCAGTAGGTTCGCGCGAAGATAAGAACTCGTGTTCATGCGGAGGCGGTTGTGCATGTATTTTTCGTGATTGAGTTGACGCATCCCTGCGTCAATGAATGGCATGCCGGTCCGGCCTTGCTCCCATTTTTGATAGCCTTCCTCGTCATCCTCCCACTGCACAAAATCGAACTTGAGGTTTTGCGGAAGATTCATGTTTCCGTGAGGTGTGATAGTGGTCATATGACGATAGAATTCTCGAAATACCAATTCGCGGACCCAGGAGCCTATTCCTTTGTCTCCCGAGTCGAAGTGCAAGTTGGAGTTGGCCTCTTTCGCATACTGAAGGATTTCACGGACGGAGATAATGCCTGCCGAGATGTAGGCGGAGAGGCGCGAGGAAGGGTCGAGGGCGGGTTCGGAGCGATGGGCCGCATAGTTAGACACCTTGGTATCGAAAAAGTGTTTCAGGCGGGAGATTCCTGCTTCGTGGCCTGCGGGCCAGATTTTGCGGACTCTTTCTTTCTCCTCGGAGCTAGAAAATCGTTTCTTTTGCGCTGGTTCGGAAATCGTATTGTCGAATAACGGAGCGAAAGATTTCTTTGCGGATTCATCATTGCTGTCAATCTCTCCCGCGAGGTCTAGCAGACTCGGGTCATTCTTCGTTTCTGCGAGCCATGCTTTGTGATATGGCGTGAAGACTTTCATCGGACCTCCTGCACCTGTGCATAATTGGCCAGGCACGACGACAGTCTGATCGTGGTGTAACTCGAAGCCTACCTTCTGGTCTTTCAGCTTCTGGGCACAATCGATATCGCGCCGAAGCTCATCAACTTCATACTCGAAATTGGCGTATACATGCGAAACATTGTGCTCTTCTGCAAAGGAAAGAATCCGATCCGTCTTCTGACTTCGATCCTCTGCTGTCAAGATCGCGAGTGGGACATGCTTCCCTTTCAGCTCTTCCTGCAGAAGCCTGAGGGACTCCAGTATGAAATCTGTCCGTGATGGCGAAGTGCCATGCCATTCCAGGTCATGTGGGCTGTGCAAGTATACGCTGAGCAGAGTACCGGATCCCTCTTTTGCCTTTTGTGAGGCCGCACACAGAGCTTTGTTATCCTGCATGCGAATATCCTTGCTGCGGAACCAGTGTAGGACATTTCGAGGCTTCGAATCGGAAGACGTGCTCTCGAGGAGGGACGTGAGCTGTTGAAAGGGCGGATCGGCATCGACCTTCTTCGCGACTTTGGTCGAAGGCTTCTTCAGACCGTCTATGCTGTCGCTCGATTCGGAGCGCGCATGCTTGTTCGGGGCCATTGAGAAGATGGACAAGAGCTTGGAAGAAAGTAGACGTCGTGGTGCAGAGCGCGAACAGAGGGTACCGATTGCATGCATACCTCAGGTTACCTTGGATGTCTTATGGAACAAAGGAGAATACTTGTCCCGAACGGCATTTGCAAGCAGTCTGCTGCCAGCCACTCATTATGAGATCTACGAGGGACCTTACCTGATTCTCCATGGACGATGTCATCGTGCTTGCAGAAGGCGTGGTGTGGGAGCAAAAATGGAGATTGAGGTGAAGATGCAGATACCAAATTGTGAGTGAGATGGTTGCTGGGAACTCAAAAGACGGACGATCACGACGGGAACCAGACTGAGTCATGATTACATCCTTGGCGCCAAGGGGTTCGCAAAAGTAGTGACATTACGCTAGTATTCTTAGCATATTCACATACTATTCAATCTACTATCTAGACGCGTTTTTTCTATACAACCAGGCCGATATTTACTAGGAAATAGAGTAGAGAGGGAGTAGGCTCTAGCGAGTTCAGAACATTAAAAATTACTATATTCTGTATAAGATGGAGCAAGTAGTAAGAAAAATAGCGTAATGTCACTTCTTTTGCAAACCCCTTGGCGCTGAGGTAAGAGGTCGCGTCTTCGGAACGGCTCGTCGGCCACACAACAACACAGCGGCTATACCACTATACCACTACCGTCCTGAGGTACCTACCTGTCTTCATTCGTCCTGACGCGGGTTCGCAGTGCGGTGCGATCATGGGGCAGACCAGATGATGAGGGGAGAGGGTTTGATGAAGGGAGGCCAAGAGGCAGTAAGTTGTCTACATAGGTATACAATAGTGGCCACGATACCAGAGGTGCGATACCTCATACATCTCCCTCCCACTCGTGAACGCACCAGTCCATTTGCTCGTGCTCCAAGTCGCATTCGCGTCTTCCCTACTCCCGCTATAAGGCCCCAGAGACAACTTCATGTACCAGTGTACCTATAGGGTAGGCAATTAAGGTACATATACATCCACTGTATTGATCAGGATACCGAACCAGATGCTGCCGATTCCGACGTCCGACCGTGTGGTGATATAAGGTACCAGACCACACGGATACGGTGCTGCATGAGCCCTCGTGCCAGCACTAGGACAACAGCCTCCACTAAGGTATGATGCTGGGTCGTCAAGTGCTGGCCCTGATCCTGTCCTCGTGGTCGATTGTCACCGCTTCCCTGGCATCGCAATTCCACCCGCACCCCAAACCGCAGAATCTCAGGCGACAATACTTTCCCACCCATGCTTCCGATTTCCAGACATTCACGACCCCGACGAATGTAACCATTCGATACAAGGAGCCGGGGAAAAGTGGTGTTTGTGAGACGACAGAAGGCGTTGCGAGCTACTCCGGCTACATTGACATTGCACCCAACGTGCACGCCTTCTTTTGGTTCTTCGCATCCCGGAGAGATCCTGCCAACGATGACTTGACATTGTGGCTGAATGGAGGTGGGGGAACATTTGCACCCGGAGTCACGATACAATATCTGCTGACCCCTGCTTCAATGTCTATGCACAGGTCCGGGAGCTGACTCTTTGGTGGGACTGTTCCAGGAGATGGGGCCATGCACCATCACCGAAAATTTGACCAGCGTTCTCAATCCATACAGTTGGAACGAAGTGTCAAACCTGCTGTTCCTCAGCCAGCCAGTTGGCGTCGGCTTCTCCTACCAGGCCGACGACCACAGTACCGAGCTCGGGAGTGACCATAACTCTACTACGACCACCTATCCATTGTCCGACCCAATTCGAGAAGGGGACATCAATACCACTGACATTGCCGCTGTTGCTGCATGGCATATTCTGCAGGGTTTCCTGTCAGCTCTGCCATACTTTCCAGACGTCAAATCTGCCAAGCCCAAGAACTTCAACCTCTGGACCGAGTCTTACGGTGGGCACTACGGACCTTCATTCTTCAAGTACTTCTATGACCAAAACGAGAGAATTGTAAATGGCAGCATCTCGGGATATCCCCTGACTTTCAACTCTCTTGGATTGATCAATGCCATCATCAGTGAGGCCATTCAAGCGGAACATTATCCCGAGTTCGCAGTCAACAACACCTACGGGATCGTGGCGTACAACGATACCGTCTACAGCTATGCCAAATTTGCCCTCAATATGATCAATGGATGCAAGGATCGACTTGTAAGGTGCGCAGCTGCTGCTCGAGACACTCCTGGAGGCCTCGTCAATGGCAAGATCACAACCTCTGCATCATCTCAGATTACCGTGGTTGATAAGTGCAATGAAGCTACCGCAATGTGTTACGACAATGTGAAAGGAGTCTATGATGCCTACAGTGGACGTCAAAGATTCGACATTCGTCTGCCTCGCGACGATCCTACGCCGCCCACTTACTTTGAGGACTACCTTGGCCTGCCTGAGATCCAAGAGGCCATTGGTGTTCGTCTCAATTACTCCAGCATCAACGAAGACGTATATTTCGAATTCCGCCAAACGGGTGACTTTGCATATCCCAATTTCCTTCGAGATTTGGAGGAAATCCTCGACAGCGGTGTGCGCGTGTCCTTGGTGTACGGCGACGCTGGTAGGTTTTTCTTTTTCTCTTGCTTTCAATCACTCGCGTTGACCATTGTCATCATTATCATCATCACCGTCAATATCAGACTACGCTTGTAATTGGTTCGGCGGCGAAGCAGTCAGCAAGCAGATCAGTTACGCTCACACCGAGCAATTCAATGCTGCCGGATATGAGCCATTCGTCTGGGCACCGGGCAACGTTCAAGCTGGCGAAGTTCGCGAATACGGCAACTTCAGCTTCACCAGAATCTACGAAGCTGGACATCAAGTAAGCTGAGTGTCATAGAGAGAGAGAGAGAGGGAGGGAGGGAGAGAGAGAGAAACGACGTCGAAAACTGATCCAGATCCGGTGCAGGTACCATACTACCAGCCCGGTCCGTCGCTCGCCTACTTCGAGCGAGCGATCAGTGGCCTCGCGATGGCAGATGGTAGGAAGCCCGTCACCGCAAATTCGACGACTACAGGGCCTGCAAATACCACGCACACGGCCGACCCAGCTCCCTACTCGTCCATTGTCCCACCTACCGAGTCTGCATCTCTGGCAGCGTAGATTATGAACCTGAACTTGTACTATGACAAGCTGGAAATGACACCGCCTCCGAGCGCGGCAACGAAGGCATTGAAGCTGCGACTTCCTCCCCCCCCCCCCCCCCCCGGTTTCTCTTCGTGGTTTTTGAAAAGATAGAAGCGGGGACTCAATCTCGCAACTGAAAACATTCTCCATACAGCATTGGCGGAAACGGGAACAGATATATTCCAAGACGATAAATTTGTCTCTCAATTGCGAGGATACCTACCAGACAGAGTACCTTACCTCCTACTAGACTATTACAACAGCCCGGTCACTGTTGCTTGGCACCGCAGTAAAGCCGACGGATCGTCCCGCCGGGAATATAACTCTACTACCTTACCTCCTACTACCACACTTCTCTTCACCTGATAGACCTTCCAATACCTTATGCAATCCCGTCTACAAACGTCTCGGTGCAACACTTCATTATACATGCCAGACAGATCTCGTATCAAGATCAGATTTTTCCACTCCATAACAAAAAACGATGAGCCAAGAACAGGTTGAAGGTGTCGAGCACGATCAACGGCAAACAGTCGTACCATGGCAGGCCTCGAATGATCTGGTATGCGGTGCCTCCAGTCACGGCGCCCACGACAGTCAGTGACCAGCACCATGCGAGTATCCTGTGTATGGGTCAGCGGGAAGAAGGCGGGCGGTGTCACAACGTCCCAAAATCACGATGCAGTAACAATGCACGCACAACTCACCTCATGTTGCGGTACTTGTCATTCTTGTGTGCTTTCGTGTCCCCAGATGGCACCCACGCCAGAGATCGGCCGAACATTCGGTCCTTGATGGCAGTCAAGTAGGCATATGACTGGATCACCATTACGAATTGTACATTAAAGCCATACCGCGCTTTACTCCAGCACCGGATGGCAACCAGGGAATACACGATGGACGGGATTGCGAAGGCGAGGTTGTAGTAGCGCACGTACTGCGGGCGACACCAGAGCATAAAGATGCCAGGCAGCGGGTTGATGAAGATGGAAAGCGAAATGGCGCTGTAGTACATCATGCCGGAAAGGTAGCAGATCTTCTGTATCCAGCCCATGTCAGAGCGCCAGAAGGCCATGTTGGTGAGCAACGTGGTGGAACCCTGCGTCCTCAGACCAGGTACGTCAGTCAGTACAGTACATCCCACGCCAGTCGATGCATTATGGACATACATACCATGCACCACCGCATCTGCTGACTGAAGAACGCGCGCGGTGTGTCGGGACATATCCCACAAGCCAGACAAAGAGGCAAATACCGGACTTTCCAGCCTCGATTGATGGCGTAAAAGCCGGTGTGGACATCCTCTGAGAAGCCAATCTCTGCCGTACCCCCTACCTCAACTAGTGCTGCTCGCCGATACACAGCATTGCTGCCGACGCAGATTGATGCACCAAAACGATTCCGATTGATCTGGACGACTCGATAGAATAATTCTTGAACCGCTCCAGCTCCTTGCTCGACCCATGTCTGGTCGGTGGATGTGCGGAAGAACTGCGGGGTCTGCACAATGGCCGTGTCTGGTCTGGCTTGGTGAATGGGTATGGTTTCCTGCAGAAAGTCAGGTCGTGGACAAAAGTCAGCATCGAAAATGGTGAAGAAGTCGCCTTCAGTTCGAGCAAAGGCCCATCTGAGGTTTCCAGCCTTCTTGAGCCGGGGACGGTCCTCCCGGCAGATGTAGTGGAAGCGGCATTGTGTTGCCAATGCATGAACGGCGTCCGAGCCTCCGTCGTCCAGGACATAGACCTTCAGCTGATTTTTCGGGTACTGGAGCTGCTGGATGTGTTTATACGTGTTTTCCAGGATCTCAATGGGCTCTTTGCAGCAAGGCAGATATATATCGACCGTCGGAGCCGTAACCGCATTGACAGCATGTTCCTCGAGGATCTTCTCGTGCTTTTGAACATCATAGTCCTTGCCACAGATGCTCACCGTGTACGAGATGACAAGATACATCTGCAGAAGGAAGACGACGGCACCAAACCAGTAAAAGGCGTAAAAGCTGACGACAAAAAGCCACATGCCAACGGACAAGCTCAAAAAGGAGAACACACCGAATGTGTAGAGTCCAAGGCGGTTCGTCTTGAGGTACAACATCTTCTCGTTGTCGGTTGGTCCGGTGGGTAGGATAAGAGGGGGAGCTTCAGAGGGGCAGTACGTGGAGACGAAGGACTCTCGTGCTCGACTCCACACGCTGGCTTGGGAGTCCTGACTGACATCTCGTGCCGTCGTCTTCTCCGACTTCGTACTCTCCGGCCGCCTCTTCTTCCGGAGTTTGTTTCTCGCAGGCTTCGCTCCACCAACAAAGCTATTGCTGGGAACCTGCTCGATCTCGTCCTCTATCCTGAGACGTGAATCCCCTACAATGCTGATGGTGGTGTCAGAGACTGGTACGATGAGATCTCCTCGGTGGCGGCTAGTTGATTGGAACCAGTCCGGAATGGTTTCCTGATCGAACACCTCCGGGAGCGAGAACCTGCGAGGCCGCGTTGCATTCGCGTCCATGTGCTGTAAGGTCAGGCTGGAGGCTCTAGTTCGCGGATGCTGAAGCTGGCGATCCTCTGAAAAGTCTTCTGAAATTGTCGCAGGGACTGCCAAGTCCGTGGGTTCATTCACTTCAGCTCTCCATGGACAGCTTAGTTTGAGTCGCCTAGAGCCAGATGATGGTTTTGATGATGGGAAGTAGGTCGTGGATTGCAAGACGGATAACGGTGTTCTGAGCAACTGCGAGCGATATCAGCTGGCGAACGACATCATTGTTGATACTCTGTGTCCCTACAGTGTCTCTGGTCGGGGTTGGACAGCTACTGGTCGCAATCGTGGGCGGCGTATCGGTGCCTGTGGTCGGTGCCTGTGGGTCACTACTGTCGTTGGCGTGATGCTTGATCACGTATTTTCTGGAAGACTGCAGCAAGTTTTGAATCTGTACTGCTAGGTGCTCTAGGTCGACATCGGCATGTGCCTCTTTGCTGGTATTGGATGCATGAGCTTCGACATCCGCAATGATGGTTTGAAGCTCCTCGGCTTCCTCTCGGGTGATTGGCATGTTTGCCGGAAAAGAATACAATCGGCACTGGAGGAGGTTCCTGCGTACTTACAGCGTCAATGGCACGCGTGGTTCAGGAACAACCAGGACACTGGATAGAGAGAGTTTCTCAAGAACCTTCCTGAATCCTGCACATAGCAGCGTTGTGCCCACTCCAGGACTTGCTACTGCAACGCATAGTGACGCTAGCTGATGGAGTATGAGCATATCGATATACGACAGAACTCAATACACCATCAGCAGGCCATGTGCAGTCAGGTCATTTACGAGCAGCAGCAGCTGTTGTAGCACTCAACAGATTTGAGGAACTACCGCCCAGTTACACTTACTCCATGCTCAACTGTGCAGACAACCTGCCTGAGCTCGTGAGGAATAGAAAATCGTATGCGACATCCGTGCTGAAACGTGCTAAAAAGACCATATATCGCATCCATCGCAACATATCGCAGGCTACTCCCAAGAAAGTTGCAAATCGCACACAACGCCAGAGTAGGATGTCTGACTGCCGAGACAGTGTCTGAAGGCATCGATTTCATGAATCCCGTCCACTGACCATCCTGCAACATACATCAACTATCTAGACAGGCCTTGTTTCGAGGTCACACATTCCCATGCTGGGTCTATCGTTCGATACCTGCAGGAACTGCAGAAAATCAACAGACTGGTCCACAGCAGAGCTACACAGAATATTGTCTGCGCGGCGAGCATTGTTCTTGCGGCGTGGACGCTTGTCATCAGTGATACTGTGTAGCAGGGTCACTGCGGTGGCACCGTCGTCGCTATCCGCTTGGGAAGGCGTCACGTTCCAGGTCTTGAGGGGATACACATGTACTTTGCTTGCCAACGTAGCATTTGCACTGGCGACAAAGCTTGTATTTGACTCTGCTTGAGTATACAGTCCAATGCATGGCTAGGTACGCAAAAGTATAGCTGGGCATAATGGTGCTTAAGATAGTACATCGCACAGTAGCTTTGATCGTTCGGTCAAGAGTGTACGTTTCTATCGATATGCTAACAAGCACTATTCCCTATAACAGTCTCGACTGAATCCGCTACTTTAAGGACGATACGGAGTAAACAGTTTATATTCGATACCCGAGGAGTCTATAATAGGAATAGTCAAAGAGCAGACACTAAGGACGGAAGGCCAAAGTGGCCAACTCTTATAAATGTACCTTACCTTATAAATCTACTGTATACAGTACCTTTCTTTGATTCTATACCTAACCGTTACTACCTTACCTTACCGTTACTACCTTACCTTGCCGTTACTACCTTACCGTCGCCGTATACGGTACCTTACCTTACCGTCGCCGCTACTCCGCCGCCGTCGCTATTACTATATATATATATATATATTACTACTACTACTACTACTACTACTACTACTACTACTACTACTACGACTACGACTACGACTACGACTACAACTACCGTTACTATACCCTACCGAGCTAACGGTTCTACTATAACGGCGAGGTATAAGCGCGAGTAATAGTAAGGTAGGTAGCGGGGGCAGTAGAGGTAGTAGAGGCAGCGGAGGTAGTAGGGGTAGCGGAAGTAGCGGAGGCAGCGGAGGTAGCGGAGGCAGCGGAGGCAGTAGGGGTAGCGGAGGTAGCGGGGGCAGCGGAGGTAGCGGGGGTAGCGGAGAATATAGACTACAATATATATATTACGGCAGCGGCGGCGGCAAGGTAGACTATATACAACAGCGGTAAGGTAGTAACGGTAAGGTGCAGAATCAAAGAAAGGTGCTGTATACCGTAGAATTGTGAGGTAAGGTACGTTCATAAGAATTGGCCACTTTGGCCTTCCGTCACCAAGCTAGTCCCAGTCAACATCGTTCTACGCTGGACACATGCAGCAGGTATGCCTGTTGCTTGATTCTAAAGCATTGGTAACAATGAGAATCTGTGTCGTGCTCTGTTGGCTTGTGATTAGACTTGCGGGGGCGCTGTAAGCCTATAGAGGCGGCAGGCTCCCTAGCAAAGCTTTGCAGGAGGAAAAGAGGCTATAGTCGGGCCTCTCAACTGTTAGATATCTTTATACTCTATTGCATAAAGCAGTGAAGTATAGAGACTCGAGAAGTCGGCATGATGTAAGTAGGACGGCTTATAACAAGGGATTACTGCTATCCCCTTGGGTTGCGATGACCAATTCAAACCTCGAAACTTCCTCCTACATGTACCCCTTGCGCTGGTGGATCCAGCGAGTCGAGATAGCCTTCAATCAACGCTAGTATGATGAGACTGCATGAGAATACAGGCACGAGCACAGCGTTCCCAATGTCCGCAGGCTTTGATGTGCAGCGCGGTAAGTACTCGGCTTTGGCTGAACTCCATAGGCGGTCTCTTCGCAGCGTCATCCCTAACTACGATTGTGACACCATGGCATTGCTTGTGACACCATGGCATTGCCCATCTTGGTCCCCCTCACAGAGAACTCGTGCTGTTGTTGAGCTGGAAATTTCATCCGAACCAGATGCCCGTATTCTGCCCACCACTGACACTCTGGTTCATGCCTTCTCGAATGATGCGATCCTTGATTGCGTCAATGCGCGTCTGCTCAGCAGCTAGTTCTTCCCTGCGAGCTGGCGAAGCTGCAATAGCGCCACCACTCTGCCAGAACTTCCACGTGCTCGGTTTGCTTACAGCAGCCTCTGGCTGGTCACTGATTCGCTGCAACATGAGCTGCCAATTTTCGACACCAGTGAGCAGACATTCTTTGCACTTTTTTCTCTCGACTTCGGCTTCGACATTCTTGGATTCGACGACTGCGGGATTTGACAGCTGACTGTCGGCAATGGTGACTGCTTGCTTCGTCCAGCTGAGACCTTCTTCAGTGTCAGAGCTGGAGGCTGCGAAGAGGATCTCGCCGATGTAGAGCATGAGCTCGCTTTCTGCACAGGTAGGTTGCGCAGTCGCTCGTACTATGGGGATGTCTCCACTTGGTGGAGGATCCGGGAACTTTGGTGGCACGAAGATAAGACTCCAAATGTCCGAACCTGATGGTTTGGATGATTGAGAAGGCGGTGGGAATGGCGACACTGGTGCGGTCCGTCTTGCGCGGAGTACCGAAAGCAGTATCGGCAGAGCTTGATCGACATGACCTGTTCTGGCATGATGGCTGGCCAAAGCGGTGGTTGCTCTGAGTATGTTGGGCGTGATGCTTGCAGAAGCTGATTCGTTGAGCACATTTGTCTGTTCGTCGAGAACGTCGGCATATCCCAGTTCAGCCCTCAAGCCAGCCTTTGCAATGTCAACGCCCCACTTGTACATCTCCATTGCGGCGTCGTTGGTTCCCTGAATTTCCAGCCAGTTGGCATATCCCAACGCCGCATCCAGCTGCTGTCCCGTGGTAAAGCCGGTTCCTGTAATGATCTTCATATAGAAAGTCTCAGGTGGTGGGAATGGTCGAACACAGTCCTCTTCCCTCGGCGCGGCCTTCATATATGGTGGCGTCGGTCTGGGATCCGGGTTCGAGGGTCCGATCATGACAGCCCGAGGGAAGACCAGACCTCTTGTCTGATCCAGCACCATCCCATCGAGATGCTCGGCAGCCTTTGCGCACAGCATCAACACTTCGGTGTAGCCCGCTCTCCACGGCCAGCTCTTCTCGCTAATGTCAGGCCCAGCTTTGCCAACACCCGGAATAAGGATGTCGCCCTCGTTGTCCCCCAACACGTGATGCACGCCCTTTCCTTCACGAGTCTCGTCTTCGAGTCTCACCAGAATCTTCAGGGCCGTGGTGCCGACTTTGGCCCAGTCCACAATGCCACTTCCACTCCGTACGCTCTGCTCCTCGTCGGCGAAGACTCGCGCCGCCCTCAGCGCCTGTCGCGTCGACCATCGCCACTCGCTCGGTGTGGCATTGGTGTGCTCGTCCATTTCAATGTTAACTCCAAAGTAGGCAATCCCGCCGAGGACGAGAAAGGTCCAGCCCAAAGCAGTCCATTTCGCAGCGAGCACGAACTGCTGCTTGACGAAGGTGCGGTTGCTGCTGGACAAGAGGCGGGCCAGCTGACCAGAGGGCCCATTGAGCGGGCGCTGATGGGTCTGCGCAAGATATGGCAGCTGGGGGCGCGCCGGGCTGATTTGCGTGAAGGGTCGATGGGAGCGGGGGTGGGGGCGGAGAGAACGGTTTGGTGGGCGGAGAGGGCGGAGAGACAGTATTCGCGTCGTTGGAGCGCGGCGGGAAAGCATAGTCGGTGATGCGCTCGCTCGGTGCGGTAGAGGCAAGAGAGGCAAGGAAATGGTAACTATGTACATGTACGATGTACTGTATGGTGAGGTCAAGGATGTTCTGAGCGCCAAGACCACCGCTCGACTCGCGAGAGTCAAGGGACAGGACGATCTGAAAGGACGATTCGGAAATGACTAAGCACGTGTGGTGGGCATCCGGATGACTAAGCACGTATGAGTCACAGCGCAGCGTGTAAGTCATAGCTCGGCGCAGAGTAACGTAGTTCCGGTTGACCTTACTTGCTATACAGACTTTTCCTACAATATCTACAATACCTATAATACCGAATATCTTTACTTCTATATAACGATATATATATATATACCTCTCTAATTGCTTCTATATACTTATATAGACACTATACCGCGAAAATTACTAGATTTAGCCTACAAACGTACGAGATATAGCTCTCGGTTTATAAGTACTATAATAAACTACGAAACAGGAGCTACGAACGAGCCGAACGGCCCGAATAATAGCCTCTTTATTAATAACGATACCGATACGAGCTTCTATCTACTAGATCTATCTTTACTGTTTACTATACTACCGAACGGCTTCCGCCGTATTAAGCTATTAGAAGAGATATTCCCTAATCGAGAGCTATTAACTAATTAAGAGCTATTAACTAATTAAAAGGAGAACTGTTACGATCTAGCGTAGAATAATACTAGTATATTCAACGAGTTACCTACGCCGGACAATCCGATTAGTCTATAGCTATAGCTGTACTAAGGCAAGCATACCTCTAATACTATTATAATCGATAATACTATAGTCGACGACAACGCTAAGTTATTGCTACCTAAATACCCTACCTTACGGTAGCAGCCGGAGCTAGCCGCTATAGAAGTAACTATCGACAAAGGACGTAGTAGTAAGAAGGTTAAGTTTTACTTACTATCTATCTTCTATATAGAACTCCTAGTACCGTAGCCCTATCTAACGTAGATTCTATATTTACTACTTGCTAAGAGCCGTATACCGGCTGTCCGCGAGTTTATCGATACTATAGATCTACGCTATTATAAGTATCTATATACTAGCGAGATATTCCGAAATCCCGACTATTATAAGGCTAGGCTATAGGATTACGCGTTTAGTAAAGGATTTACAGTTGTCTATACGTCTAGTAACGTTAGCCGAGCTATATATAAGTATATTTACTATAGAACTAGTACTAGGAATAACGACGGATTCGACGATTATATAGGCGATAGCGACGACGAATTACTTACTCTATACGTTCGTAACGCGAGAAACGTACGATAGTAGGGATACAGATAGAACTACCGACTAGGTTACGTATAATTAAGGCAAGGTACAACGGTTAAACAGTAGTAGCTAACTATTAATTTACTCGACTATATATACGAATTAGCGCTAAATCCGTCTGTTTACGCTATCTACGAGATACGTATACCTAGCTTCGGTAAAGCCGTAGCGTAGGCCGCGTAGTATCGACTTACGAACGAATTATATAGTACTATATACCGATAGCTCTCGCTTTACGAACTCTAACTTAATCGTAAACGTTACTATAACCTAGCTAAGGGTAATACGCTTAGTAGCTCCGGCGACGCCGATACTATTATTAACGCGTTGCTTAGTATTCTCGTTACTCTCAGATTCGAATATAAAGGCCGTTAGTTGTTTACTACTAATCTATAGACTAGTAGTACTACGCGGGCATTGCTTAAGTAGCTTGTTTACTAGTAGTAACGTATAGCGCGCTTTACTACGCGATTCGTACTAGATTATAGCTTCTAGATAGATACTACGTTTAGTACTAATCGTACCGGCCTATTACTTAGCGTATTTATAGGGGTTACTAATACCGGACAGTTATTTCCGATATATTATTTACTAATAAAGTTAGAGAGTAAAGAGGATTAGCTGTTTATACTACTTGTTGTATTCAACAACTATCTATATAACTATCGGCTTAATAAAGTAATTATCTTAGATACCGGAGCCGGCCTTATCGTAGCTATTCTAGAGTTACTATTTTAGCGCTGTATTTAGTAATTCTATTAATAGTATTAGTACGCGGCTTAAAACCTTTATAAGCGTATCGACAAGGGTACTATATATATAGTACGTACTAAGGCCGCCGATAGTAAGATATACTAAGTTACTATAGCTACTAACGACGACGAATCGACCGTACGAATCGACGTACTAAGACGTACGCGAGCTCGCAAACTAGGCTATACCGCCGAGCAGAAGACGGAATTAAAAGCGCTTATATAGCCGTAGCTATAAGCGGATATAGCCGAAGCCGCCGATAAACTCGAGGCAGCTATTATCGACAGATTAACTATAGAGGATACTAAATATTTCCGTAATATCTATATCGTTATTAAGTAGCGACTAGTAACGTATTATATTAAGCATCTACCGAATAATAGGGCTCGCTCGTTACAATATACGGAAGGCGGTAATCGTAGTATAAAGGGGTATCTACCGCCGTACTTATTACTAGAACAGTATATTAAAGGTATTAAGCAGTATCTAGATAAGCTATTTAATAATTTAGAACGGTTAGAAGAAAACACGTACGTTAGGTTACCCCTATAGGCCGTAGCGGCTAATAACCTCGGTTATTTCGTATAACTTAATAGCTAATATATAATATAGACAATCGACAGACTACTAGTTTTATAGTATAACGCCCTCGGCCTTAAACGTATAGTAGACAAGGCTAATTATACGCGCTCGGTAGTAATAGTAGAGCCGTATCCGATACGCGATTACTATATAGATTGTAGTAAAGTTAAACAATACAGACTACTATATACTTATATACTACTACCTATAGTAATTAAACGGAAGCCGATTACTTATAGTATACTATATCCTTGTTACTTTACGCGCAATCGTTCCGTTTACGCTAGTAACGCCGTCTAGTAGATACCGAACTAGTAGAATCAATACGACGCCGCGACGGATAGACTATAGGAGGTATTACCGTAACGCGCGGACAGTTATAATCGTATATAGGCTTCTATACTACGCTAGTTAAGTTACTTACTATTACTACGAGCTACGGACTATAATACCTATATAGACAAGCTCGAAGCGTTCGAAGCCGTTTACTTAACCGGCCTATAGGCTACTTAACGCGACCGTTTACTACTAGAAGCGATTCTATTTATAGTACCTATAAAGCCGGCTTAGTATCTACTACTACTACGGTTGCCAAAGCGCGGTAATAAGACGACTAATAGGCTTATAACGAGCGTAGAGGTAGCTAGTAAAGATATAGCGTTAGCTAAGAAGGCTGCTACTATCGCGTTATACTCCGAATTCGCGGCTTAGTAGTATACTATTATAGCCGACGTACTATAGACAGCTGTAAGTAATAAGTTAGTAGAGGTTAATACTACCGAGCTAGTATATAGCCGTAGCCGTAGACGCGGCCGTAGACGTCTATACGGCCGTAGTTGTAGTCGCGGTCGCGGTCGTAGTATTATATATAGTAAATTAGTCGAGACTAACGGTTTAGCGTCTAGTAATAGTAACGGTAGCGGTAACGGTAGCGGTAACGGTAGCGGTAACGGTAACGGACGTATAGTCGAGGGTAACGGGGCTAGAGGTCGTTAAACGTACTTTATAGGCTATAAAGTAGTAGATTATATAGTATTGAATAGTGCTTTACGTAGGTAGTTAATATATATATATATAAGTAATGTTTAGCTAGAGCTAACGTTAATCCGCGCCGAGGCTTAGTTATCCGGATGCCTACTGCTTAGTTATTTCCGAATCGTCCTTTAAGATCGTCCTGTCCCTTAACTCTCGCGCTCGACTCTAGTTTATAATACTATACTCCCTTAATCTCTAGATATATTAGGATCTATATTACATCTATTAGTTATGCCTTAGGGGACATTGATAACAACGTTATAAGAAGATACATATTCCGTCGATACCGGTATAGCTGTCTAGGGACTATAGGTGCTATAGCAAGCACCTCGGTGCGTTTTTCCGCTTCCTCTTAGAAGACTCGATATTCTATTATTAAAGTAAGATTATTTTAATATAGAGCCTGTATTATTCAGCCTCGTTATCTTCCCTAGATAATACTAGGAGTATTGAACTTAAGGACCGTAGGCGCGTTCCTAGACTAGCAACTTAGCGCCTGAAATTCGTCGTACGAAGCGCTCTACTAACTTAGCTAAAGTAGCCGCTAACAGAAGGTATATAAGTTTGACTAAATTCTGATGACTAATTAGTAGGCTTATCGGCTAGGGGCTAAAAAAAATATTGATTAGAAGGCTGACGTACGTTTATCTCGCAGGTAGATGTTTCGTATAATTGAGTACGCCTACTACGGGAGTAGGCTAAAAGGGTTGTCTGTCTATTAACGTAATTCCCCGTCGTCTAGTCAATATTTTATTCCGCGTCTAGTCGATATTTATTAAGACTACAATACCTTCTTCGGCAGGTCGGCGTAGTTCTTAACGAAACTGATTTTGCTTTTTTTTAATTAGATTTTTTATTATATTAGTCTATAAATTAGTTTTGCTATTCTAGGTATATACCCGACTTTAAGAACAAACTAATACTATTTATATCCGCTATATTAGAGGCAACCCTACTATATCTAACGATCTAATAGTTTCTAATCCTTATCTATTCGATATTAGATACGTAACTTATAGCGTTTATAGAATAGGTATTCTATAGCCTATACTAAAATTTTAGAGTCGAATAGCCTACTGCCGCCGCTATAATTGCAATCTAATACTAGAAACTATTAGGTTATATTAGGTTATTCTATATATATATAGTTTGTTACCAATCGAGCTAAGACTCTCGTAGTTAACTTCTAGATAGCTACGGATCTATACTCTAAAGTTCTAGAAAGATTAGTCTAGTATACGAGTTAATAGCCTATTAGGTTACTATAGATATTAACTAATAGTTATAATCTGATACTATTACTTTATATTGTCTTATATATATAGTTTTAGCCCGATCTAGCTAAACCTTTAATAGTTATCTACTATATAGCTATAGATCTATACTCTAAAGTTCTAGAAAGACCGGTCTAGTATATAAGTTAATAGCCTATTAGGTTGCTATAGGTAGCTATAACTTACCTAATACTATTAGATACGTTAAGTACTCTTATATACGTTTTTAGCCTAATTGCGCTAAAACTTTTATAGTCGCCTATAGCGTACCTCTAGACCTCTATACTAAATTTCTAGAACTAACTAATAACTATTAATGTTTACTTCTTATATATTAGGAGCGACTCTACTATCTTTTAACCTAACGCCTCCTAATTAGGTACTTAAAGCTATTAGATATATTAGTTACTCTTATATATATATATATATATATATATATATA